GATAAAGGACATTTCCAGGTACTCCACATTGCAGAAATTTGGCTAACTAGGCATGCATGCCGGATGTCTCTGAGTTGTGATCTCTGCATTCACATTTTACTTATTCTTTCCCTTTGGTGTATTTTTCCTTTGTTGTTTACTTTCATTACATTTTCATAACTGGATGGGCAAGATGCTTTTAAATCCTTAGGAAGTAGCCACTATTAACTTTAGACTTTTTTTTCTTTTAAAAACAGTACTGGGGGCTGGGTGCAGTGGCTGACATCTATAATCCCAACACTTTGGGAGGCCAAGGTGGGCAGATCACTTGAGGTCAGGAGTTCTAGACCAGCCTGGCCAACATAGTGAAACCCCATCTCTACAAAAAATATGAAAATTAGCCGGGCATGGTGGCGGATACCTGTAATCCCCGCTACTTGGGAGGCCGAGGCAGGAGAATCACTCGAACCTGGGAGGCGAAGGTTTCAATGAGCCGAGATCGTGCCACCGCGCTCCAGCCTGGGTGACAGAGCAAAATTCTGTCTCAAAAATAATAAATAATAAAAAACAGTACTGTGGTTGTTAGTGATAATTTGGAAAATATGGAAAAGTAGAGTGAAAAAAATTTGATCTATAGTCTCATGCCAAAACCAGTTACTAACATTTTGGTATATTTCCATCTCTAATTACATTTAAACATAAAATTATGTGTGCATTAAAAATATATGTAAATAATTTTGTCCTGTTTGTTGTATTTAACCTTCAATGACAAGAATGCTATCAACCATAATGGAAAATACTGGATTTGACTACATAAAAAATCCGGCCAGGTACGGTGGCTCACGCCTGTAATCCCAGCACTTTGGGAGGCCAAGGCGGGCGGATCATGAGGTCAGGAGATGAAGACCATCCTAACATGGTGAAACCCCGTCTCTACTAAAAATACAAAAAAATTACCTGGCACAGTGACAGGTGCCTGTAGTCCCAGCTACTCAGGAGGCTGAGGCAGGAGAATGGCGTGAACCCGGGAGGCGGAGCTTGCAGTGAACTGAGATCACTCAAAAAAAAAAAATTAAAAATTCCATAAAGAAACTATTCATAAAGTTTAGATTTTTTTTTTTTTTTTGGAGAAAGAATCTTGCCCTGTCACCCAGGCTGGAATGGAGTGGTGTGATCACAGCTCACTGCAACCTCCATCTCCCGGCCTCAAGCAATTCTTGTGCCTCAGCCTCCTAAGTAGCTGGGACCAGAGGCACGTACCACCGTTCCTGGCTAATTTTTGTATTTTTAGTAGAGACGGGGTTTTGCCATGTTGGCCAGGCTGGTCTTAAACTCCTGGGCTCAAGTGATCCACCCACCTTGGCCTCCCCAAGTGTTGGGATTATAGGCGTGAGCCACCACAACTAGCCCATTTTACTATTTATGTGTGACAGTCATTTTTTATAAGGAGCTTAAATCAAGGAAAAGATAAACACCTCAGTAGACTGACAGGGAAAGAAACATATGAATATCATGTTTCCTAAAGAAGACTCAGTGACAGATAAATATATGAAAAAAATGTTTGGCCTCACACAGAATCAATGAAGTACAAGTAAAATGAAACCGTATTTTCTACCTAACTGGACTGTCAAAGATTAAAAAGAAATAGTACCCAGATTGGAAAACAGGGATTCTTAAAACTTTAATAGTTTTTTGGCCGGGTACTGTGGTTCACACCTGTAATCCCAACACTTTGGGAGGCTTAGGCAAGCAGATCACGAGGTCAAGAGATCGAGACCATCCTCGCCAACATGGTGAAACCTTGTTTCTACTAAAAATACAAAAATTAGCCAGGCATGGTGGTGGGTGCCTGTAGTCCCAGCTACTCAGGAGGCTGAGGCAGGAAAATTGCTTGAACCCGGGAGGCGGAGGTTGCAGTGACCCGAGATTGTGCCACTGCCCTCTAGTCTGGGAGACAGAGCAAGACTGTCTCAAAAAACAACAAAACAGAAAACCTTTAATATTTTTTATATTTTAAAAATAGAACAGGGTCTCACTATGCTGACCAGGTCAATCTTGAACTCCTGGGCTCAAATGATTCTCCTGCCTCGTCCTTTCAAAGTGCTGGGATTACAGGTGTGAGCCACTGTGTCTGGCCA